TTCCCAATATACGTTTGCAGGCAGGGATGTTCTGCCTGGTAGTTACGATATGGCTAACGCTGCTAGCTTGGAGACGTTCTGGATGGGTTCATGTCTACATTTCAAGAAGTTCTCTCTTGTCTGGCATAGTGTGTTTTTTCTCTGGGCTGCATTCCCATTCCTAGAACCCAGTATATACGATGTCTACGTTCTCGATGCGTTCCCGATGAGTACTTTCTCGTTCCTAGAACCCGATCTTCGTCGTATGCTTCGATGGGGTTCATTCAGAAATTTCCTCATTACGCCTGTGATCAACCTGACCCTGTTCCATTGTTACGTTATTTACACAAACGTATTAAAACTTCGATTGCGGGTTTTCTTCATATTCATACTGTGCTATGTTTCCTCAATACCCTGGATTTTCAACTTCCTTGCTTGGTGTGTTCTACAGATTCCTCACCAGTTGAAAATAACTATGGACAATGGTTGCAAAGAGATAGCCGCGAAAATACTCGACAACTAGTAGGACAGATGAACTATGGCCTGAACTGGAAACCGCATGGACTGCTCTACAAGTAACTCCTATTCAAGGTAACATCGTTTGAATTCTCAGGAGTAACACCGCTTCTATTTTTTCCAGAGATCGACGCTTGGAGTTCTGGTTATTTTACGTAAAATGTTAATAATTTCATCTCTCCACATTCGTAAAACAACTGTAATTATTCCAACTGCTTTCCTTCATAAAGCAGCAATTTCAACGTTCAGCAGTGCAATTAAATCAGTCTTTCATTATGCTTAACAGTAGCGCTATTCATCGTTGGAAGAAAGCGGATAAAATAACGAACAATTTCGTTTTTATTTTAGTTTACCTTTTTTTTTTCTTTTCCAAATTGAAATATTTCCTTCCCAGCTCTCACAGTTCACCGATTGAATCCCAGTGACTCGAGCAGTGTTCTAATCCAGATAGCTCCATGAAGCAAAATTTTATACTGTTTCCTTAATGTTTGAAGTAAATATGAATTCGTGGCTGTTTGGAAAATTTAGTGAAAAATAAGAGATTTCTAAAATGTTGTCAGAACAAATAAGATCAAAATATGCTTTGGAATAAATGCCCATTCTTCGTAAACTTGGTTTTGGAAAACTCAAATCAAAATAACTAACTTAAAGAGGCAATTTAACAAAGCTATTGCATATAAAGTCATTTCAAAATTTTCTAAATATATTGTTTAGGTATCTTTAATCTTGATGTCCTATGTTTTATTTTAAAATGCTTCTTCAGTCATGATAGTTACAAGATCTGGCCTTCTTAGGTAGCATACAATTAGACAAGAATTCTAAATGACAACTGATGAGTTTCATTGTGTCTTATAAGTACCACAGAAGAAGGAAAAATGTGCAAGAGGCCCTTTATTAATCCAAATAAAGTTTAACAATCGGCATTAACTCATGCTTACAGAAGTCAATAGCTTTGACTTTAAATAAAAGGTAACGTATGTACTAAAACTAAAGAAATTTAAGTATTGCCTAACGGCTATCCAGTAGAATTAACGAGGAAGCTGGTTCTGACTGAAGTCGGTGTAAGCAAGCCTTATGACTAGAATGACTCAATGCCGCAGAATGCTGATAGCTAGATAATCAGAGTTAGCAGCGTGGCCTTCAAGCAGACGGAACACGCTCTTAATTCTCCCTCCAAAACTTTCCTTTAAATACTTTCTTTCTTCTACCTAATTTGAATAGCTCATGCCTGGAAATTCACATTCTTTCAGAAGAATGTAAACGAGGCTGATAAAAAATAAATTGACATAGAATAACTGGTTAGAAACTTAACTGATACTTTATATAGTCATAATAATGATGGTAATAGGAATAGTTGTAAGCACTTGATAGAAACATGAAATAGGATTTACTCCCTCCATGTCGAATGAAAATTATACATGCTGTCCTGAAAATTTTTAATGAATGCAGTCTCATCTGCCGCTATGAATATTATTATTCATAAGATGATTTATGAAATCAAAAAGAATCATCTTTTTTCATACCGTTTGTTCTCCATTGTGAGAAACTAACTGAAGATCTTGAAAATCATTTTCGCTTCTCTGGTTATTGTGTTTTAATTCAGCACTTGAAGGTCAAGTATATGCATAAATGCGCTTGAAATTTATTCATTTTTCCGTAACTAGAAATCAATTTCTTCCAAGAAGATATCCAGGTAGGCGCTTTTGTTTAATGAGATAATCCACAAGTGTTGCCATAAAAATGATCTACTCACTCCGTTAAAAGATACAGATAGAGGTAATCAAGAAACATATTTAAAGGCCAATTAATTAAACGTTGAGGAGTAATTCTAAATGGTGCTTTAGTGCGAGCGTTTAAAGCGGTTATGAGTTTTAAAAACATATGCTTTAAAATTTTGGGGCTTTAATGAAGCGCATTAGATTACAATTTATTTAATCAATTGCATCTAAATTAGAGGCACTCTGGTGTGTTTAAAATCTGAGTCGCATAAACTTCTCTAAAACAATTAAATCAGAGGTAAAATATATGAAAACGTGTGTTACAAATTGTTGTACGTACGTATCCAAAACGTTCCTGAAACATAATGCTGATATCTGAATTGTTAATAAAGTTCTGTATTGTTTGCGCAAACATTTTTTAATATGTTTGTTTTTTTTACTTAATATTGCCACCATAAAAAATTCGTAAAAAGCGGTGCTGACATTATAAGGTATTTTCTTAATTACCACGCTCCTTCGCGATGTAACTACAAGCACGTCTGACTAGCAATCGGTAGGTTAGGAGTTCAAATTCTGATGGTTTTCATTGAACATTTTACTGTCTTCTAATAGTTTCCTGCATTTTCTTATGGTCTCTACAGTAGCGAGAGAACTAAAACAGTGATAGCAACAATTTGTCATCACCAGGATTCGCCAACTATACCCTAGTTTAAACTGTGAAGATGGAAGGTATTTTCACTCATTTTTACATCATGCCGACGTGGTAAAATTGAAAGCACGGCTGGGTAGCAATTCAGAGATCCTCCTGGCTAGAATACTGGATATTTTTCATGCCCTTGCTCCCAAATAAAATGCCCATTGATGTCTACAACCTTATTTAAGCAGCGCGATATAAATAGACAGATTTCTAAATAATAATGTTCAGAGAAGCAGCCGATTATTTAATGAGGCTGATGTTTCAGATATATTTATTACTATAGTGCTGATTCTGCTGATAAAAATTTTTAATTACATTTCACGTATCTAGAAATCGTGAAATTAGAGCATTCTTAGCTTGTTGCTTTCCTGAACTTGTAAGGAAGATATTTTGACAAAATATTAGTTGTTCCAATGAAACTTTTTGTTTTTAAGATAATTTAACAGTTTTACTCCCAATCTACTAGCCGTGATGCAACACACAATCAGTAAACAGCACGCTTGATCATCTTAGATATTCTTTAAACATTAGGACACTTAACTCATAAATGTTGCTCCACCAGTGGCCAAGAAATTAAGATCGTTGAATACTGGAGTTTCGACCTAGGTTCGATCCCAAGCCAACGAGTTGGCTGCATGGGATCTTGGTTTTCTCCATTTGTAACGTGTTCAACTTGGTTCTCGGCGTTTCCTGCACTTGCAACATGAACACTAGCCGGTTTTCTCAGGAAAACTCTCCATCTGTCCTCCCCTCTGTCAGATAAGCTGCGTGTGCTTTGTCGTACTGAAATAACCTAACCTACCATTTGAATGTTAGGTTTGGAATTTAGGTAAATTTCCTTTCTGCCTTAATTTTCTAAGAGACCGCACTTAATGGCCGGAACTATTTGAATATATAAAATATAATCTTACATGGCTTACTGAATTCTTTTATTTTGTTTCAGTATGTAATGCATGTATATATGTTTCTATATGTTGGTGTGCGTGTCTACAGAAGTAAGATTATGAACCTAAACAGCAGTGAATCCATATTTAAGTTTAGAAGGTGGTTTCCACTAGTGAATAATACTAATTCTTTCGTGTGACAGATCAGAGTGCTACATTTGCATGACCTAAAAAACAGCCTTGCTTAGCTTTCGAAGAATTTGTTAATTCCTTCGAAGAAACTTCTATATTTTACATGCGAAAAACGTTGCTTGTGGACTGTTTACAGGCAGTTCCGTACATGCTTCCTCGCCGTGTAGTGGACCTGGAATTGAAGGGCTTTAGTTTGCCAACTCTTGCTAAATATCTCTTACATTTCAAATGAAATTCTAAGAGAGTTTATTTTAATTTTTACATGTTTAATTCTTTAACTCTTAAAATGTCATGAAAGAATGAATCTTCAGAATTTTAGGACTGAATGTTTCAGTACCAACTGATATACTAAACAACTTTGAATTGTTGATGATTAATTTTATCTATTCTGTAAAACCAAAATGACCGGATTTCTGAAGAGAATTCTTAGCATTAGGATGTAAGGTATTTTCTCTCTCCTTTTCTCATGCCTTCGGGGTGTAATTTGAAGCATACTCGATGCGTTTTCGAGAGATCCAGTGTTCATAACCCGGCGAGAGCATTGCATATTTTTCACGTCTCCTGCTACAAGGATACACCTAATGACTCTAAAACGAGAGAATTATTTCGAACAGATAAGAGAATTTTGTTGTCTGATTACAGAGAAGACATAGCATTTTATTTCACGTCCTTACCTTCCAGATTTGGCAACTTGAAGACTAGTTTTATTCCCTAAAATGAAGGTTATATTAAAATACCCAACTCTGAGCGCATTTGAGAAATTAAGAAATATAAAATGAAGAGAACGTAAAAGAATTCTATTGTTGACTTCTGAGTAAACATCCAGAAATTCCATAGTCGTAACCAAGAGCTATATGAGGTCAGAAGAAATGTATGTAAAGATCTAAACAGTAACAAACTTTCTTTCATGAAATAATTTATTTTATGATGTCAGTCTTAAATCTTTGTATACGCTCTGTGTCTATGTCATGTTTAAATGTAACACGTATTTGCAAATAGGACTAATGTCACAAGTGAAATTTCAAAATACATTTTATGTAATGGGTGCACAATACAGACGTAATCAAGATACAAAGAATGCAGCAACAGAATTTTCCAGAAATTATTTTCCTTCGCAGAATTCACGAAGCATTTATAAGAATGGAGGAAAACGCCAATGCTTAGTCAGTAAATTTTTCTTTACACGATTTGTCCTTCGCAGTTAGATAGAAGTCCCGTTCAAGAAAAACACTATACTATATACAATCAGATTGACTGATTTCTCGTTTCTCCTCGAAAATACGATGATGAGGCTGGAGTCACTTTGAAAAAGGATGCCACAAATACTTTATTTTTTTCGGAAAATCCCGGTCAGCTGAAATAAGTGAATAGCAAACACGTCACGATGGCCGAGCTTTCAATGAGTGTGTTTCCAATGTAACTGAAACCTGAAAAATAAATCTAATTCAAATATTGTGACGTGAGTATATGCAAACAATAATACAAGCACTGATTACAATTTTTGTAGCCCGTATAATAATCATTATACAGTAAGCACAATCCATTAAATTTTTAAATCAAATTAATGTCATTTCAAATTTACAATAGTCACTACTGTATACATACTAACATACGCATATTAAAACAAAAATATACAAATGGAAATTCAAGCAGAGAAATTTAGGCACTCACAAAAGACATTAAACATATATTTAGGTGAAGGAAAAATGCATGACAAATGAGTAATGAAATATTGCATGAAAAATTACTGAAATACTTGTGATGTATGATATTTTTAAAAGACACTTAGGTAGATATGGACTATAAGCCAAAATTTGAAGTACGTATAAATTTAGATCTCCACATCTTATAACTACAGGTAATACAATGAGTAAATATTTCCCTTAAGATATAAAAAGTTGTAATAATTAGTTTGAAATATTATTGGTATAAACTAGGGCTTCTTTCGAAGTTTCCCATGTTGACCTTTTATGATCAAAAACAATTTATAACCCCCTTTACTTGAATAAAGATATAATTTGTCAAATACTTTAAACACTATCCTTAATTAGTTTTACTAATTTATTTAATAATTACGAAATATCTCTTAAGAATACAAAATTAACACTTAACAAAAGCTCTGAGATTATATGAATACTGAACGTATTCATATAATCTCAGTATAGGATTTATATTATATAATATTTCGTACAGTATTAAATGTACAGTAAATTTCGTACAGTACAAAATTTATACTTAAATATTCATAAAAGAATTTTCCGCAGAAATGCTTTTTCTACAATCCCAAACACATGTGCAGAACATCAAAGTTTTTAAGTTTTGATATAAATGTTGTTTCTTTTATTAGCAAATATAACCCCAGACTAATGATTTAGTGCACCCATTCATTTTTAAGTCAAAACTGGGTTTTATAATCTTACATTTCGATTTTATAATTCAAAAAGATTACATACAGAGATTAATATATTTATACCTCATATAAAAATTCATATTTATCTCCTTTTTGTTGCAGTTCATTTAAAAACCATATTTATTATTCCGTTAAAAATCGGTGTTTGGAAATACGCGATGTCATTTCTTTGTCTAATATTTGTTAACATAAGAAATAGTTATTAATTTAACAAATCTTATTAATACCAAAAATATTTACAATCTTTATTCCCAAAATCAGTGATTAAACACGCTACTTACAATGCTTAACGATTGGGTTTTAATTTCATAGGAAAGTTTATGATTGCTACTGAAGATTCAACTTCTTCCTCAAACCTTTCTTTTCTTCATAGCTTAACAGGAATGGAAATTATAAGCAATAAAACCTCAATTTTGTAAAATCAGGTTTAACTGGCACAGTTTTTATTTTAGCAGAATCGCTTTGAATGGTTCAACACTATCGCCTTCTTCAGCCGGAACTGAATGGAAAGCAACTATCACAAACGGAAGAGTTTGAAAAAGATTCAAGAACATTCTGATATTATTCCATGCAGCCGTCCGTAATGAAAAAGAAAACTAACGATAGAAACACAGGTAGTTTCTTTGTGTTAACTTACCCAACGAAAATGTACTAGATATATAAATAAAATAAAAGACAAAATATTTATTAGTTTTTGTCTCTTTTTTAGGGCATTTTATGACATTAATATTTTGTTATCACATGTATTGTAACAAATTTTACAGTGAGGTACCTAGGTGAAATAAATATAAAAATGATAACTGACATATGTTCGACAAATACGAAATGAAAAAAGTCAACACTCTCTTTACTTTAGTCCTCGATGAAGCTTGCATTTTTTCTCCATAACTTTTTCTATTAGTATTACATTTTCGTTTATTCCGTCATCTGTTTAAATAGATATATTACATATTCTCTACTGCGCATACTTCGGGGAGAGTAGGTTACTCAAATAAAAATAAGATTTAGATAGTAATGCAGGGTCGAATAGGCGAACTGGTAAAACAACTGCCCTGGAAATTTGTGATTCGACAAGTCACCCGCAAAGGGAGGTTAGAAATAAGTGCAGGAGTCACTTGTTACTTACTCTGAGTAAGTAGGTTAAAGACCCTCATACTAGCTATATAAATCAATATCACGCATTTCCGGAACCCACGGTGCCATTATGGTGCCAATGTGCAATTGCTATCTACTGCAACTGACATCGCAAGGTCTGCCATCACTGGCGGTGTCACCGGTTGTTCCATCTCATGTCCGGGTGTAAGCTTGCGGTCATTTTATGTGAACATTGCTTAGGGTATGACTGAATGTACATCAAACCTGGCCATTCTTACTTAGAGATACAATCCATATACTTAATTTCTTATCAATAAAAACTCGCTTTTTAATGCATATTCACTGGCAGGTCCCATTGAGATTGCAGTTTACAATCAGCCAATTACCCACTTTAATGAGTGTTTTACCCTTTGTTTAGATATGGTTCATTACACATTTTTGTTTCTGTTGAGATATTATAGATCACTTGCGATTTACTCATATTGGTACGTTCATTTGATAGTATATTTAAGTACTTCATAGAATTTAGATGGAGACTAGACGTGATTTGAAGTGTTTTAGTTATTTGCTGTGGCCACTTGCAGCTAGAAATCTGAACAATAACCACTAGGGGTTCTTCTATGAATATTGATTTGGATCGATTTGGGTGGGATCACTTTGTATTAGATAGGTGTAGACCCCTTGATGCGAGAATATGCATTATTGGTATCCGCCAAAAACATCGCGGAACACAACGCAAGGCGAAAACGTCCTAGTTCAAAACATTGTAGGAGAAAAGAAAGCAAAGAGAAAACATCGGAGTTCTAAAACATCGTCGTCGAAACCATGGTGGTAAGAAATAAAGTACCTACAAATCATCGCGTGACGATAACATCGCACACTTGCATTTTTTTAGATTTTTAAAGTGAGTGAGTGCAATTTCGCATAATGATTTGGGAGCCCAAGAAGGAAAGATGAATATTTTTACTTCTATATTTCATATTTTTTAATGAACTTAATAACTTTTTGCTGCAAATGTAAGAAGGAAACTTAAGCATTTGAAAACTGAGAAAAGAAAATTAATACAACTTACAGCACTTAATTTTAAATTTACATAGTTAATTACAAAGTTTATTAATTTTTAATAAAGTTTTACTGATAATTTTTACTAAAAAATACAGTCTAAAAATCTTTAACAAAAGGAAGATAAATAACTGCATCAGGTTACCTCTATACAAGTTGCTCAGTTAATTATCAACTTATTTTCTTTTACGTTTGTTAATCTGTTATTGTTTTAGTAAAGATTACATTTTGTTTTGTTTCCGTTTATTCTTAAAATGTCGTTAACATTTTCAGCCTCTTTCATTTTTGCGCTACCAAATCATTATGCGAAAATGCATTTTTAAAGCTATGTTATATTTGTTTGCTTACAGCATTTGAAGTGGAGTTTAGGCTTAGATACAGGTCGTATTTGCGCCTGCCCCCTAAGCACCTCCTTGTAAAAATACTGATTAATTGATTGATATTCAGGAAAAAATCATGGTGAATAAATCCTTTGTAATCAAAAAATGCAATCAGCATCAACTTAATCTTTCATCTCGATTTTTTGTATGGAAGGAGACGGTCCTTTTCACTGTGCACTTTGTCTTTTTATTTCGGCATCATACTGCAGATATTAGGTCTCAATTGTTACACGTTCATCAGCTTTTACCAAATCATCTCGAAGGTATCGGTAGCAGATATACGTACATAATTTGAAACAAACGTTAGTGCTATAATATTGTTCTACATCGAAGATAATTGTTTTGTACAATGTTTTCTCAGTAAATGAAAATGACTGCCGTTTTGATAAGCAAACGACAAAACAACCAATTTAACCTGGCTGTGACAAGAGTTGAAATGCCACTCTTTTTAAAAATATATTTGTACTTTCAATATTTTATTTTATCATTTGGTCTTTTAATTTGTCCGGATACTTTATGGGTGCACCTTGTGTGTTACAGGAAGGAAGAAAGCGCAGATATACAGAGTTCCAGAGAAAAATTAAGTTGTATAATGCATTCAGGACGCTAAATGTATCACCTTGTTATGGAAATGATAATGGTACACTGCGCCAAAAAAAAAAAAAAAAAGAAATTGGGACAGTTCTATATCTCCCGTTCTACATCGCCAATTGACAAAGTTCAAATTTTTTTCCATGTCTCGAAAGCGAGACTTAGAATATATGTTAGATTTATGTACAGCTTTGCTCTAATATTGGTATTTTGACACAAAAATCGGACTTTTTCTGAAACGGCATGCCCTTTTTTCCCATATTTCTATTCTACGACTCAAAGTATGCCTAAATATTAAATTTTGTAAACTTTGGGGCGAAATTTACGGAGATATTCAAACATTTACCTTGGCGCATTTTTTTTCAGTTTGCGCCAAGAATAATTCACTTGACGATCTTAATTTATGGAAACCTTTCCTTTTTTTCATTGTAAACGAGCCGGAAAAAGTCATTGGTCATTATATCAAATAATTTTAACAAAGTGCGTGAACCACATTTGGCGTTATTTTCGCTTATAATAAATATGCCAAATTTCAAGACGCGCCAATATGTAAATTCTCGTATATCGCAGGAAATTTTGAATAAAAAAGTCTAATTTTTTGCAGGTGCGCTTAGAAATACATCTACTTTAAGATGGTGGTAAAATTTTTATAGGTTATAATTTAAAATTTGCTTCAACAATTTTTTAAAATTATTTTAAAATACACATTCAAAAAATAAATCATAAAAATGGGCGAATTGTATTTGGAATGCACCTAAATTTTGAATTCTGGAAGAAGGAATCAATTAATTTTAATCAAAAAAGAGATATTAATAAATACATATCAAATTCAATTAACATTGTGGAGGCAAAATGTTGAGAGTTAAGTTTTTAAAAACTGCCTGTGAGA